CTTCAGAATCTTACAGAGTATCTCTCCAGAAATAGAAATCTTCTTGTTAATTTTTCCTTTTGTATCTGATCATTTAGGAGAGCTCTTTGTCTATCTTAATAATTTCTACTAAGGTATATCTGTGGATGGTCCCTAAGTAATCCTAAGTATCTGAAATGTACTAAGTATTCACAGCCACATGACTTCTCAAGGCATTATCCAAGGAGTGAAGAAAAAATCTAAGCAAATCCATAAACAATGAGAACTAAATTAAATAAAGGATTTAAGTCTGAAAAAAGTTAGGTTTCTACAGTTCACATCTCACATTTCTTGTGCTTAATAAAAAACTTGATAGTATAGAGAACTATTGTACATTCAGAAAGTACAAATAACTTCCTACTTACTTTATTTGTTAAAAGACATCTGTGTAAGTGAAATTATTTTAAGATAGTGCATTCACTTATTTTGGCTCTTGCCATCTTGTGGCATCCAGGATCCTGGCTGAAAAGTTTTACCAGTGCTGGTAGGGTCTGTTGAGGGCTCTTCCTTTCCAAAGTATGGAGCAGAGGCATGTCCTTTAATTTGAGTTTGAACAGGTGGAGCCAAAAATTCCCCTTTACTTAGGAGTTTTTCTTCATAAAAGTCTTGACTTTTCATTTTCATTTCATCTCTATATTTTTCATTCTTTAAGATTTCCTCCATAGTTGGTGGTATCTTTCTTGTTTTTCTAATCCAAGCTTCCCACTCTGTTGGGATATCCCCTATTCCATAGTCTTCTTCTTTTTTCTGCACTGCTTCTACAATTCTTTTCTCTCGAATAGTTTGTCCTCTCCAATTCTTGTACTCCGGGATATAGTAGTATTTGTTCCCGAACTGGTCCGTGCCCACGTGTTGTTTCACTTCCTTTGACAATACTCTCCGCAAGGAACGAAACAGATGCTGAGACCAACCCATGCTGCCTGCCTAGCTTCTAGCCAACATGCAGCTGTGTATACAACGCCCCAGACAGAAGAGGGCCCCATCAGGATCATCTTTTACTTTCTCTACCTGGGCTCTGGAATCAGCTATTTCCTTTGGTTCCATTAATGGAGAGTGGTATTTAGAAACCAAGACATGGGTGCTAGGTGTCATAATTTCTATTGGGGCGTTTCTATTCCCAGACTGTTTCATGGAACCCAAAAAACAAACCCACTGCCATCTTGTTGATTTTGACTCATAGAGACCCCCATTAGGTTTCTAAGGCTGTAAATCTTTGTGGGTGGTGAGTTTAAACCACAAGCTTCTGGTGAGCAGTCAAATGCCTTAGGCACTGTACCACCAGAGCTCTTTTCAGGGAACAAAGCTAGGAAATTTATATATATGTAAACCCACATTTACCTTTGTATTTATTTATTTATCTATTTACACATGTTGAAAACTGTAAATTCACATCCATATCTTCAATTCCAATAAATAAATAAAAATCATTATAATTTTTTCTCTTTTCATATTTAACTCCTTTCTCTGATAGTGTAAGGCATTTGGTTGCTAACCAGAAGGCTGGCAGTTCAAACCCACCACCTTCTTCATGGGAGAAAAATGAGGTAATCCACTTCCATAAAGATTTATAGTTTTGGAAACCCAATAGGGGTCACTATGAATCAGAATTGACTCAATGGCAGTGGATTTTCTCTGAGAATGAGAAACGTAGTACTCATTATCCCTATAATATATTTATACCTATATCTGTACATAAATATGTAATTATTTGATCAAATCTAGTGTATAGTGCAATGTGTCTTTCCCGTGCAGATGCCCTCTCTCATCCTGCCCAGGCGCTGATGCCCTGCTGTGGGCAATAGCTCCTCTTCATCCCTTTATCAGAAACTTACCTTACTTGACCCTTCATAATGACCTTTGAATTGAATTGTTCAGAAAGGAAAGGAAAGGGAAGCAAAAGAAGAGAAAAAAGCTATTTAGCCTATTTTAATTGGATTTGCACTGTGAGCAATGGGTTACACTAGTGCTGTTTGGGTTGCAGGGGCAATGGTGGTTCTGTGCTAGAATTCTCTACTTCCATGCAGGAAACTGCCTTTCAATTCCCAGCCAATGCATCTCAGGCATAACCACTTCCTCTGTCAGTGAGGTTTGTGTGTTGTTATGAGGCTGAATATTTTTTCAGTTGAGCTTCCAGACTAAAGTGGACTAAGAAGGTAGGCCTGGCAATCTACTTCTGAAAATCACCCAATGAAAACCCTGTGGATCACAAGCACATTAGTCCAATGTGCAACTCATCATGGAGATGGCACAGGATTGGGCAGCATTTTGTTCCATGGTGCATGAGGTCAATATGAAACTGGGATCAACTCAATAACAGCTAACAATAATCACAAGTTTGGAGTACAAAGGAAAATAAGATGCATTGGATCTTATATATAGATTGTTGAAGACAGCTAAGCTAGGTTATATAGTAGTAAAAACTGACCCCAAATCTCAGGGGCTTAAGACTTGTTGTTGGGTGCTGTCGAGTCAGCTCTGACTTTTAATGACCCTATGTACAGCAGAATAAAACACTGCCCAGTCATGCACCTTCCCCACAATCCTTGCTATACTTCAGCCTGCCATTGCAGCCACTGTGTCAATCCATCTTGTTGAGGGTCATCTCCTTTTCTTTGGACTCTCCACTTTTCCAGGCATGATGTTATTCTCCAGGGAATGGTCCTTTCTGACAGCATCATCGAACTAGGTGACATGAAGTCTGGCCATGCTAGCTTCCAAAGAGTATTCCCCCTGCACTTCGTCCAGGACACATTTGTTGGTTCTTCAGGCAGTCTGTGGTGTTTTCTGTATTCTTTGCCAACACCACAATTCAAAAGCACCAACTTTTCTTCTGTTTTCCTTATTCGTTGTCCACCTTTCACATACATATGAGGTGATTGAAAATACAATGGCTTGGGTTAAGCACACTTTAGACTTCAAAGTGACATCTTTGCTTCTTAACACTTTGAAGAGGTCTTTTGCAGCAGATTTGGCCAGTGTAATAAGAAGTCTGATTTCTTGACCACTGCTTTCATGGGTGTTGATTGTGGAGCCAAGTAAAATGAAATTCTTGACAACCTCAATCTTATCTCCATCTATTGTAATGCTACTTATTGGTCCAGTTGTGAAGATTTTCATTTTCTTTATGTTGATGTGTAATTCATACTTCAAATTGCAGTCTTTAATCTTCATCAGTAAGTACTTCAAGTAATATTCACTTTCAGCAAACAAAGTTGTGTCATTTGCATATGGCAGGCTGTTAATTGTTCTTCCTCCAATCCTGATGCCACATTCTTCTTTATATAGTCCAACTTCTCAGATTATTTGCTCAGCATACAGGTTGAATAAATATGATGAAAGGATACAACCCTGATGTACATCCTTCCTTATTTTACACCATGCAGTATCCCCTTGTTCTGTTTGAATGACAGCCTCCTGGTCTATGTACAGGTTCCTCATGAGAGTAAGTATTCTGGAACTCCTATTCTACTCAATGTCATCCATAATTTGTTATGATCTACACAGTCAAATGCCTTTGCATTGTCAATAAAACACAAGTAAACATCTTTCTGGTATTCTTTGCTTTGAGCCAAGATCCATCTGACATCAGCAATGATATCGCTCCTTCCATGTCCTCTTCTGAATCCAGCTTGCATTTCCAGAAGTTCTCTGTCAATATACTGCTGCAACTGTTTATCTTCAGCAAAGTTTTACTGGCATGTGATATTGGTGGTATTGTTCAATAATTTCCACATTCTGTTGGACCACCTGTCTTTGAAGTGGGCAGAAATATTGCTCTCTTCCAGTCAGTTGGCCAGGTAGATGTCTTCTAAATTTCTTGGCATAGATGAGTACACGCCTCCAGCATGGCATCCATTTGTTGAAACATCTCCATAGGTGTGGTAGTTAAGGTTATATGTCATCTTGGCTCGGCCTGAATGAGTAGCTGGACAGCTGAATGTAGTTATTTCCCATGGTGAGATTGGCAATCATTTCCATGGTGGAATCTACTAGATTTAAGGATGTGGTCTGCTTCTAGTATATGAGAAGCAGCTTTGAGGAAGGTCTCTAGTTTTTTGGCAGTGCCAAAGGCATTTCACTCCTAACCAGAAGGCTGGCAGTTCAAACCAACCAGCCGCTCCTCCAAAGGAAGACTAGACAATCTACTTCTGTAGAGATACTGTTTTGGAAACCCAAGGAAGGGTCACTATGAGTCAGAATTGACTTGGTGGCAATGAGTTTGGTTTTTTTTTTTTTTTTTGGTTTGAACCCTTCATGTAGCCACATCATTGGTCAGTAGCCTGCCATGCCTTGCTGATCATGGGACTTTTTCTGGACTTGAATTAGTGGCCTGTCATGTTGTTTGGTAACATCAGAAACATGCCATTTTACTTGTTAACCTTGGGATTGTCAGCCTCAGCAGCCAGCAGCCACCTGAGTGAAGAAAAGCCTCCAATTCTCAGTGGGCTGGGGGCAGGAGGCAGAGCTAAAGCTCAAGGTCAAGGGGTTTTCACCCAGTCCCTAGAACCTGCACTTTGAACTCAGACTTCTAGCCTCCAAAATTGTAAGAGAACAAACTCCTGTTTATGAAAGCCATCTCATTTGTGGTTTCTTCTGTTAGAGTGCCACAAGGTAACCAAAACAATGGGTATTTAGTCAATTCCTGGAGCCTTGTTTTTCTAATTCCTTCAGTGCAGCTTCAACTTCTTTCTTCAGTGCCACTAGCCCTTGATCATATGTCACCTCATGAAATAGTTGAACATCCACCAATTCTTTTTTTGTACAGTGACTCTGTGTATTCTTTCCATCTCCTTTTTGTTTCTTGCATCATTCAATATTTTGCCCATAGAATGCTTCAATATTGCAACTCGAGTCTTGATTTTTTTTTTTTCCAGTTTTTTCAGCTTGAAAAATGCTGAGCATGTTCTTCCTTTTTGGTTTTCTGACTCCAGGTCTTTGCACATTTCATGATAATAATTGACTTTGTCTTCTCGAGCTGCTTTTTGAAACCTTCTGTTCAGCTCTTTTATCTTGTCATTTTTTCCATTTGCTTTTGGTACTCTCTGTCAAAAGCAAGTTTCAGAGTCTCTTCTAACATCCATTTTGGTCTTTTCTTCCTTTCCTGTCTTTTTATGGCCTTTTGCTTTCTTCAAGTATGATGTTATTGATGTCATCCCACAACTTGTCTGTTTTTTGGTCATTGGTATTCAATGAGTCAAATCTATTCTTCAAATAGTAGTCTCTAAATTCAGGTAGGTAATAATCAAGGTCATATTTTGGCTCTCTTGGACTTGTTTTAATTGTCTTCAGCTTAAACTTGCATTTGCATCTGAGTAATTGATGGTCTGTTTCACAGTAAGCTCCTAGCCTTGTTTTGGCTGAAGATTTTGAGCTTCTCCATCACCTCTTTCCACAGATGTCATCAATCTGATTTCTGTGTATGCTATCTGGCAAGGTCCATGTGTATAGCTACTGTTTATGTTGTTGAGAAAAGGTGTTTGCAATGAATAAGTTGTTGTTCTTGCAAATTTCTATCATGCTATCTCCAGTGTCATTTCTATCCCAAGGCCATATTTTTCCAACTATTGATGATTGTTCTTTGTTTCCAACTTTCACATTCCAATCACCAGTAATAATCATTACATCTTCATTACATATTTAGTCAATTTCAGACTGTAGAAGTTGGTAAAAATCTTCGATTTTTCATCTTTGGCTTTAGCAGTTTATTCAGTTTTTGAATAGTAATAGTATTAACTGGTCTTTTTTTGTAGGCATATGAATATTATCTTATCACTGACAGCATTGTACTTTAGGGTAGATTTTAAAACGTTCTTTGTGATGATAAATGTGAAGCCATTTCTCTTCAACTTGTCATACTTGGCATAGTAGACCATATGATTGTCTGATTCAAAATGACCAAAACTAGTCCATTTCAGCTCACTGATGTCTAG